ATGAATTCTTGACCAAGGACAACACCAATGAGAATGGAAAAAAGATGAGTTTAAACAAGAGTACAGAATCAGGTAGATTGGCGGGATTTGGGGCCCTTGAGGGCTAGTTATGAGGAACTGAGATTATGGTTGTGAAAACACACTTTTTAAATAATATGTATATAATTATATAGCCTTGCTGCAATTTGATTCTAGGCATGAATAATGAGGCTCCACGCTCCTATACAGCAGAATTACCCTGATTTTTGGGCCAGACGACAGTGTGGTGACAGCACCATATGATAATGTGGTAGCTTTATTGCAATTTATGCTTCTCTGCCTCCCTCCCAACTTCCCACCTGACCATCAGTACTGGACGGTTGGTGCCTTTGTGTTTTATAGTAAACAGTGAGCACTCTATGAATTAGCTTTTACAGCCCGTTGTTCAAAATAGCAAATTCCTAAGAGAGAGTTTTAAAGTGGGAACATAGACTCCATCCCATCATTTTACAGAAGAGCAAACCAACACCCGGATCATCTGAGACTCATCTAAGAGCAAGGGAGAGAGAGAATTATGACCGGATGTCTTGGAAAACTTTGCAGGAGCTCTTTGCTGCCATCTTTGTAGGATATGCTTGTTGACGGGCACGAGAAAACGATTAATAATCCAGGGTACTTGTAACTCAAGGAATATCCCTTCAGAAAAAGCACAGGGAGGTCCTAGATGGGCCCCGTATTCCCCACTTAACGGCAGGTGAGTCAGCAGCTCCTTTCGGGGGTAGGAACCTTCCCCTTCTTCAACATGAACGTTTCTAGTTTAAGGCCCGGAAATTTTTGTCTCGTGGGTAAACAGTCTTGTTACACATGTCAGAGATGAAGATACTCCATCTTTTTATTGCACAAGGTTACGTCAACAACTCTGACATGGCAGTTACGCATCCATCACTTTGTCATCCGCAGCACAATTTGGTTTGGAAGAAGGGCTGAATTCCTTGTCTTGAATACCTGGAAGGATCGCTGATATCCTCTGTCAGTCTTATATATCATGATCTTTAGCTACTACCACTTCTATACAGTGGTCAACTGTCCTCTGCCGGGGCAAGACCTGTGCCGTTTCCTTACAATTTATATCCTTAATGATAATCTTCTCTCGCCACGAATGCTATTCATCCCATGTTCCAGATGTACGGGGCCATATTTTGACAAAGTGGTTGTTAATACACTGTGCCTGAAGGAGTCTGGGGAAGGGCCCTGTGCCTCCCTCCGGGCGGCCCCTCCTCCACGTCTCTCAGCCTGATGGGGACGCACGTGCAATCGCTCAGAGGCGAGGTGAGAATGGGGCGGAGGGTACGGGAAACAGGTGAGAAGAACAAAGCCGTGATGGGACAGCCGGCTTGTCAGTGACAGTGTACCCTGGGCTGCACACTTGTTTCTAGCCTAAGGTACTGGTTATGTTGACACCCAAGGGTATAAAATATCTCTGGTCCCACCCTCTACTTGCCATGGAGATAAACTCATGCTTATCCCAAGAAAGAATCTCTTACATTTCTGGGTAATTATCATAAGATGCTCTGCAAATAAAATAAGAGTTTTTAAAGATCAGTTACCCCTACATCTCTATCATGCTAACCTTTTTTAGTGTTTGTTTCTAGTCCGGCTGATACTCCTCAACTAAGGAAAGATAATATTCTCTATCTCTTTTTCTCATAAAAGGTGCCTTGTGATCACTGGATATTAGTGCCCTATTTTCCCCCTTATTCCTTTCCAGTTCACCTTTTATTTGAAAGGTGCCCACTTTCTGCCCACTTTTATTATTTATTCATTTCAAGCCACCCAAATTTTCTTCTGCGTATCCCATGAGAAGAACTATTTCTGACAAAGCTTCAGCCCATGCTACTGTTCATTAGGTTTATAGTTCCCTTCTAAGGACTCGGCAAGATCAGTGTTCTGAGTTTGCATTACATTTCAAAGCAGAAAAAAATATTTCCCAGTGTTATATGAAGCAGAATGTCCTAACTGTATACAAAATAGAGTCTCTGCTGTTGAAATGCAAATCAGAATGGGATGAACAACAGAAGCACGAACACAAAGGGACGTTCAGGTGACCTGTAATATGAGTTACTGCTCAGCCACCGACTGCAAGGACAGTCACTGAGGTTAAAAACCACCCTGTGCGTATAATTATCATGGGTATGAAAATATTGAGGAAACACACTGCTGGAGTTTTGTCTCTTTTTCACATAATTTGGAAGCATGGCATAAGAATTTCTTTAATCGTTTCCAAATTTGTGAGTGAAATTTCATTTGTAAGGGATTTTAAGAAAACAAAAGTCTCCAACCTAATTAACTCCAAATTTAATTCAACATTTTCCTTTTATTTACTATAAAATATCTTGAGGTTTAAACATTTTCAAAATCTGTATATATGTTATGGGAATGTAATTAATCATTTGCAGAGCACATAAATCCCAGCAAGACACTTTGTCAAATTATCTCATCTTACTCATGATCCTTTTATCCCACCAATTTTTCTTGGTTTCTGATTTCACTGAGTTGGGATTAAGTCAGTGCATTCCTCCCACTGCATAATTAGGACTGCTTTAAAACTATGTAATTACAAACCTCAACTGCCAATTGTGCATTGCATTCATTGTCATAAATGCCATTAGCATGGTTTTAAATTCTTTCAGAACAGTGGGGAAAGATGTCATGTTAATAAGTTCCACTGCTATATGTCTGCTATTGATTATCTGCAGCAATTATAGACTTGGATGGGATCCAAAACTAGACACAGAGCCCAGGAAAATGCCAATGTTTTGTGAATCTAAAGGAATTTTTAAGAAAAAAAAAGTTCTTTAAAACAATAAAACTGGATGAAAGGTTTAGTATAAGATTTTAAAAGTATGCAATGGCTGGCTTACTTTTATAAATGGGTACAGAGCTAATCTCTTCGTCTTCCTGGGAGGGGAGAAGCATTTTGGGTAGTTATCTACTCTAAGTTTGATTACCTTCTACAGAAATTAAAATAGTATGAAGGTGTTCCAAAGCCTGATTTGACAGCGTCTGCTCTATTCACTCCCACTGCTGGTCAGCCCACAATCCCCTCCCTTAGCACGAACCTCTTCTTTGAGTCCAAGATCCCAACTCCCTCTTCTTTATCAGAGTCTAGAGATGGTAGGTAGACCCCCTTAAAATTGATGTGAAGTCTTCCTCATCCAGAAAGCTCACCCTGATGAGACTTCAGTCACGTATTTCCCAATTCTGAATACAAAACAAAAAAAAACTTTTCATGATTAAAAAAAAACAAAACAAAACCCCTCACAAACTCTCTTTTAAGAAACTAAGGTGTTCATAATCCCCATGTGAACAATTTCCTTTGGAGTAAGCCTTTAGTATGTGGAAGCGCATGTATCCAATGGTAAACTCTATGATTTTGCTGGTATCCAAGCTTGATTCAGTAATTTAAATCCATTTTAGCCATTTTCATCAAGTTTCTTTGTTAAATCTCTTTGGACAATCAACACGCTTTGTTATAAATGACTAATTTAAGAGAAACCAAAAACTATATAAACAAATTCAGGAGCTCCAATCAAGTTCTTGCCTGTCATTATCCACATTATATATATATATATAATATATATAATAATTATATTATTATAATAATTATTATTATATATATATAATGTAGATATTAGATATATAAACTATATATATATATTATATATATAGTTTATATATTATATATGAGTGCAATGCACAATCGGCAGTTGAGGTTTGTAATTACATAGTTTTAAAGCAGTCCTGGGCTTCCCTAGTGGCGCAGTGCTTGAGAGTCCGCCTGCCGATGCAGGAGACGCGGGTTCGTGCCCCGTTTCGGGAAGATCCCACATGCCGCGGAGCGGCTGGGCCCGTGAGCCATGGCCACTGAGCCTGCGCGTCCGGAGCCTGTGCTCCGCAAATGGGAGAGGCCACAACAGTGAGAGGCCCGCATAACGCAAGCAAAAAAAAAAAAAAAAAAAAAAAAAAAAAAAAAGCAGTCCTAATTATGCAGTGGGAGGAATGCACTGATTTAATCCCAACTCAGTGAAATCAGAATTTTATATATTTATATATATTATATATATTACATGTTATTTTCTTTAACATCTTTATTGGAGTATAATTGCTTTACAATGGTGTGTTAGTTTCTGCTTTATAACTATATATGTTATTAATATATTAAATATATTAATGTAATATATATTATCTATTATATATATATATATATATATATATATATACAATGTGTGTGTGTGTGTGTATATATACACACACACACACACACTTTGATCATTATAATTTCCCCGCTATGCATTTCTAAATGGTTATAAATGAACTGAATTGTGGTGGGAAGAGGTCCCGGGATCTTAACAACTACAATAACTCTCTTGTAACTTGCTGAAAGCAAGTGATTTCAGTACTGATTTACTCTTTTACTTGAAGTTCATAAACAAAAGCAAACAGGTAGATTTTTGTCAAAAACCTACAGGTTGGTAGATCTTTAAGGCCTTGCACCTAGATAAATTCTTACTTCAGACTACGGAAATTATCTTTGGAAGCAAGGAGGGTGGGAAAAAAGCCAGCTTTGCACAAACTGAGAGTTCAGTCCACCTGTTTGAATAAGTATTTTTAGACAATTGTGAGTCAGGTTAATAATGAATACAGAAAGAATTATTATTAGCATTGTGACTTACTCTATGAAGATGCACTGAAGTAAAAAAGAAAACTTAGGAATAATTAATTGGTGCCTCTCCCTCTCTTCCTCGAATTTGGTTTGTAACTAGGGATATCCAGCTAGCTGTTTCCTATCTGGGTGTTGGTAGTTTGTAGACATGGTTTCCTCCCTGCAGCTTTTCAAGAGCAACTGTCAGGTTATGTGGCAAATGATTAACTCTGTCACCCTGGATTTTGTATGCCTGCTTTTAAGTATGATGAGCTTCAGTCTTGCAATGGAAAAAAAAAATACAAAAGTCACCTTAAGTCTTACAGTGCAACAGTTTTAATAGTCCACACTAAAACAGGCAGTACAGTTTTGCAGTTCAACATTAAAAGCAATCCTGCCTTAATTAAAATGCTTCTACTTGAGAATGCTTCCTGCTCTCTCCCATCCTTTCACTTAAGGTGTGTCTACAGAAGTACTCCTAAAGTGCATTTCTCAGGCATTAAAGATAGCACTGTGATTTGCTTTCCAATAGCAAGTTCGGAATCAGAGCATGCCGTTCTCTGTGGAGGGCTGCGCGATTCCAGTTGAGCTAAGGTCTCTTACAAAAGTACCCTTCTCACTCCCACGGGCGATGCAAAGAAGGCCACTGAAGTTTTTTGAAAAAAATTGTTACAACTTTCTCTGCGGTATCTTCTCTTACCACGAATAAATATTTAATGCATCCTTGAGTCGTGATATACGGAACACGTTGTTTTGTCACGTCAGTTTCCAGGAAAATAAAATCTGGAGGCCTTGTGCGAATATTCTGAATTTGGTGGGATGAGACTCCAAGAACAGGGGCGGGGCAGAATTCTCGGGTTTAGACCTGGGGGTTGGGGGGGGCGTGGTGCGAAGAGAGTCCCGGAGCGCTCGGGCTACTGCTTGTCCTCGTGCGGGTCACCAGAGAAGCTCGCCTCCTCCGAGGACCTGACTCCCTCGGGGAGCAGCGTGGCGCGCACTTTCCTCTTCTCCTTAAAGCGGCCCGAGCGCGAGATCTTCAAATTTCGGCGGCTGTTGCCCGATTTCTCCCCGCCCAACTTGTCTGGCTTGTGGGGCTCGCCGGCGCCCCCGAGGAGATTGGGGTGCTGATTCTCCCGGGAACTGCTAGTCCAGTCGGGGCCAGGCGGGGCGGGCGCCGCGGGTTCCCCGGGGTCAGGCTGGGCGGGAGGCTTCGCAACCCCCGCGGCGTCCTTGCTTTTCTTCCTGCTGTTCTTTAGCGAACTCCACCAGGAGCCCGAGCTGCCGGTGCC